GGTGAACCCAACGTGAAAGCTTGATGATAAAAAAATCCTAAATAGAATACTAACAATGCTCTAATTAGATTATAATAATGGTAAACAAACATAATCAAATTCATAACAACTCAAAGAAATTTCAAATAAACAATAAAATTCTTAAAGAAATATTAGAATGATCACAAATTTTACTCAAATATTTGTCAATTCAACCTTAATTTAATTCTAGTTAAAACCCTATTGAATTTCACTCAACTTTAGACCAAACCTAATTAAATCTTAAACCCTAATAATTCCTAAATCCTAAGTCAAATCCTAAACAAATCTTAAATTAAATCCTATTTCAAATCCTAAATCCTAAACCAAACCCTAAATCAAACCCTAAACCAAACCCTAATCCAACCCTAAATCCTAAATCAAACCTTAAATCAAACCCTAACCAAACCCTAATCCAAACCCTAAATCAAATCCTAACCAAGTCTTAAACCCTAATTCAAACCCTAAATTAAATCCTAACTAAATCCTAGTCCAAATTCTAATCCAAACCCTAAATCAAACCCTAAACAAATCCTAAACCGAATCCTAGCCAAATCCTAATCCAAACCCTAATCCAAATCCTAATCCAAATCCTAGTAATTCCTATGACAGATTTAAACCTCAATATCTAATGAATAAACCGTTGATCTCAATTCAAAATTTTCACACTTCTTAAAAATCAAGTTCAAAACAAGAATTTTTTTTTTGAAAAGGATCGGAGTTACCAAATTGACGAAAACCTCAAAAATGTGTTCGGGTGTTAGCCGGCCTCCTTCTCCAATCTTGTTGCCAACCTTCCAGAGTCAATTTCTCTTCTTTGCGCCGTTCGATTGATTTCAAATTTCTTAAGGACATAGAAAAACAAGTCTTATATCCTCTCACACAAGTTTTACTCCAATCCAACTAATAGATTGCATGAAATCTTAAAAACCCTCACTAGACCTAAAATTCTACTTTCTAAGACCTTGATTCACTTAAACCTCAATATCTCTTAGTTCAACTGTTAGATCAAGCTCAAATTCACAACATGTATTCAACACAACTATAACCATGAATCCAAAATAATTCACCTATCGATCTACAACAAAACTCTCGAAATCACTCAAAACATAAATCCTATTTTATTTCATAAAACCCAAGTCATCCAAAAAAAAACTCAACTTTGCAAAGCTCTTAAAAATTCATATCAACTCCAAATCACCCAAAATTAATGCCCATAGAAACCTTATTCAATCTTCTCTCAAACCCTACTCTCCGATCTGCCAAAGAGTCTAAGAGTCGTCGTCGAGACTCGGTTTTGTGCATCAGGGTCTGATTTCGACCCTGGTTCATAACCGGCCTTCTCCGGATATCAATATCTAGTTTTTCTAAGTAATTTTTTTCTAGAATTTACTCTTAACTTTCTTCTAAATATTCCTATATCATTTATTTTTCCAATTTACTTTGATTTGCCTTACTTATGGTACTACAAATTAAGTAGAAGTCACCTTTCTAAAAGGCAGCATTGATACCTTTTAATTTTTCTACCCCTTTTGGCTATTAACTATATTTCTAAGATAATTTGTTCTAATACTTTGAACTAAGATCCACACTCTTTCACCTATTAATCATGTTACATCATGACAACGTTGTATTCAAAATGTCCATACCTAGTTCGAAACGCAGTCTTCCATTCATCTCCTTTTTTGATGCATACTAGATTGTATGCTCCCCTGAGATCTATTTTTGTATAGATCTTAGCTTGATTCAACTGATCAAGAAGTCCAAATATTAAAGGTAGTGGATACCTATTCTTGATGGTAATCTTGTTGAGTCCTCGATAATCAACACACATCCGTAAAGATCCATCTTTTTTCTTCACAAATAGAATTGGAGCTCCTGCCAGAGATTTAGAATGGCATATGAAATTCTTGGCTAGATTTTCTTTAATATACTCCTTGAATTCTGTCAACTCATTTTGTGATAAACTGTAGATTGGTCCGAATTGTGGTTGTGCTCCTTCTTGAAGGTCAATTGAGCAATCATAGGGACGATGTTCCGGAAGTGTATCCGCATTCTTTTTTTCAAATACATCTTGAAATTCTTGATATTGGCTTGGAATGCCACGTAAAGTCTTTACACTGTTAGAAACGTGTGTGGCATAAATAATATAAAAACTTTGATAGAAGTACTATAAAATTTCAAAAACAAAGACTTTGATAGAAGTACCATTAAATTTTGAGAAACAAAGACCATTCTTTCATAAGTTTTGAACTTATATCTAATAAGTCAACATTAATATAATCTAGACAAAAGATCTAGTAGCAGTAATGTACAAAACCCACACAATGACACACTAATATTCTTTGGTTTATGCAATGACTAATTAGGTTTGAAAATTGTCTCTTAACACTACCAACAATATTGAAGGCATAGACTAAGTAGAAAATAGCAATATTAAGACATTGGTACCCTCAAACATTAATTTTGAAAGGTGATTATTTGATCTAAATCATCTTTTGGCACAATATTTAAAATATAAAGATACTATTTTTTCTTCCATTCACTTCAAAGAATAAATAGGTTTGTCACAATTTGATGTAACAAATTCAGTGTAAAATTTGGAGATTCAAACATTATTTTTATGCCTTATAGCATATAATAAGAATTACAATCTAGCACACATAATGCAAAAAAAAAGCCAAGGATGTGGTTGAGATATAATATCAAAGTCTCTCTCTATTGTGGCTACGAAAAGCATTATTCTCATATCTAAGCTCCTTCCTTCAATTGGCTTACTTATAACCAGTATATATAATATTAAGTTTTTATGTATTTTATATATCTTATCTCTAAAAACAAATAATATTCTTGTACAATAATCCAAATGCCATTTATAAAGTCACCAATTTTAAAAACATTGACTTCTTCAATGTTGTTACCATCCTCTATCTTTCCAAATTTTAAATGCTGTACATAGCCAACCATCACATATTGTATCTCAGAGAGAGAAAGAGAATGTACAATTGCTACAACAATGACTCTATGTTCTCAATCTACAATTACAAAATCTTAATTTCACAAAGAAAAAAGATGCTAATCATGGTAGCAACAACTACTATTTAAATATTTCTCTAAAAAAATATATTAATGCAGACTCAAAGAAGAAGCTCACTAATTAGTATATGAATGTTGTAAAACAATAGTTACAATTGTTGGTCCATGAATCACAACATTAATCATATATTAGATCTTCATGTCAATTTTGATAGTAATTGGCAAGCGTCAAGCTTTCATTGAACTTCTACAAATACTAAGAGGCTTCCAAAAACTAGATTTTGCAATGATCATTGTAAAAGTTTTTGCAACATATTTTTGAGATCTTGCATTGAAGTGTGAAGGTAACAAGGAAGCCATGCGGAAAGAAGAGGGTGGTAAAGATGCCATGGGAAGAAAGAAAGGTAGAAAGAAGCCATGGAAAGATAGGAGAGTGGCAGAGAAGCTATGCAAAGAGGAAGGTGGCAAAAAAGGAAAAGCCAACACTGTGCTGATTGCAACAAGGCATGGAGTAATGAAATAAACTTGTGGTAGGTCCTTCCTTCTTTTAAACAAATAATTAGAGCTCTATAATTAAAGACTACCATGGCTAATAATTGTAGAATGTGGCAATGAAGATTAAATTATCATGATTGTGGATGAATGTGCTTTCTTCTCATTGGTTGCAGATCTAGTAGTAGAGAAATGAATTTAGATGTAATTATTTTTTCATTGATTGTAATGATAGATACATCACTTTAGTAAAATTTTGGATCACTTTATCATTACCTTAAATATAATAATCACATAAAACATAAATACAATAATAATATGAGACACTTCTTTGGCAAATTAATTATTAACATCAATTGTATGCTTTGAGGCCACCTCCTCAAAATCTGTCAATACTGACTTGGATCTCAAATCAACCTTGCAGCTGAAATAAGACAGCCCATTTCAAAGAAAATAAACAAACATTACCACATGTAAAGTCTCGAATTGTTAGAGAAGACATGTAACTACAAAAAAAAATCATCCAAACCTTCTGCAGCCCAAGTTCCAACTGTATGCATGCAGAACACACAAACACAATTCTCGTAACTTCTTTCGTCGGACAGGGTGAAGGTTCACGAGCTCATTCCGCATCATCATTCTTGGGCAGACTCTTCTAGAAAGATATCCTATTCCTACAGGACGAGAGGATTTTCTGATGCTGGAAACAAATCCTTAAACAAACAGAGAAGTTAGAAGCATCAAGGAACAACACAGAATCCGGCGGTTTGGTCTCCTCAAGTTGGCAAGTATTTCCGGTTCCTGAAGCTCAATGCTGCTGCTGCAAAACGATATCAACATCTGCCGAAGAAATATGAGAACTCGGGAGGCGACAGAATGATTACTTGTCCACCTCTGACTAAGAAGTTGTTTTCTAGCGGTAGCCTAGCCCTGTTGCAGATTCCGTCACGGCAGGAGAGGCTTGGACGATATGGTTATGGGGTAGAAGCCATGCAGGTGTTCGAACAATGTAGGCTGGAAGAGTAAGACCACAATTTTTGCCGTTTGTGAGTGTCTTGGCATGCTAGTTTCGTCGATAAAGGATTGCTAATTACTGAGATTGAACTTTCTTCGACAATCCTAAGAAAGTTCTAGATAAAAGAAAGATGAACTAAAAAATTAAAATCTAATGTTGATTCAAAATTGTTCAAACAACATTTTTCTATTTTATTTTTGAGACCATAATAATCAATTGTATACAAATTACTTATATATATATATATATGTTTTACTTATTCAAACACAAAACCTTGATTTCGAATTAATATATTTAGTTAAAATAATAAATCATAAATTCAACACCTTCCCATATCTGTTTTACATAAAATAAATTTCTTAGTATTCTGAAAGATGCATGTATTTTTTTGTTTTTCCAAAAGCCCATTCTATCATCTCTATGATTCAAATGTGAATTGAATTAGTTCCAAATAGAACATCATCTTGCATATAACCGTTGTTCAATAAAAGCTGTTTAGAACGGCAGACTCGTATGTGTCATAGTCTACAACAATTGGGTGATGAAGCAAAACGTAATAATACTGCAAGATCTAATAATTTTTCAAAACGCCAAATACTGTGGAGAGAACAATAAAAGTAGCAGAAATTCAAATCCTCAAAAAAATAGTCAATTCTTTCCAACTCTAATCCAGTAACTATGTCTCACAAATTTCAAATATTAAAGACTGCCTTGTTCTTGTAAAGATATGAGCACACGGCGAAACTAAAAAGTCAGTTAGTAAACCACTGCACATTGTAATTAGGATGCCAAGCTGTGATTGCTGTCTAGACGCTGGGCGTTCCTGGTGTTATGCTTGCAATAAAATCAGCTAATGAATCTAAATACCCTGCCACCTGCATTTAATCAACACTGGAGATTCAGAATACATCTATTGAGTTTTGAGACAGTATACGCAGACCATATCAAAGTTTCAGCCATGCATAATCTACTCTCAAAGTATTACAAAATCACCAACCAATTTTTCAAACCTTAACATAATACAATATTGTGGTAGACATCGGTTCCAAATTCTGCCAACACAACTCTCATCAAAATGCAAATTGAGTTTCCATTACTAAATTAGCAAAGAGAATCTATTGGTTAGGCGCATCAGTAGTTCCACCTTTTTCAAACACATGCAGCAAGATATTTACACGATCACCTACTACTGGATAAATAAATTCATTGACCACGAAAAAAAATATATAATAGTACATTAGCAAGCAGGCATTAGCACTCTGAGAAAATCGAATAATATGCAATTGACTTACTTGAGCTAAGATGCCTTTGCCAGTATTACCTTCCAAAACAATCCCAATCATCAAACCTAGCACTGCCCATCCTCCATTGATTGCTTCAATCTTTTGTTGTTTCTGCATGCCAGTCAAAGCCGCGCACGTTCTCTGAGCTACAGTAACTTTTCTAGGTTTTCTAAACTGTTGCGTTAATATCCCTCAATTTGACACTGTGTCTCCTAAAAATTTAAACTTCCAATTCATTTATAAACTTCTGGTTGATTACGCAATGTTTGTCTCAAAGACTAGAAACCTTTCATGATGGTTGTGTGAAACTGCGGACCTGAAAGGCTACGCGTTCTTGGAGTTGCTTCCATTCTAAAGCAGCCAAACGCTTTGCCTCCAGGGGATCCACCATCACCGGTTTCTTGGGAGGCAGTTTAGAGCCTCGAAGAGGTCCATTTGATACTTGGTTATCCTGGATATAAGACAAACTTCTAAATCTCAAAAAGATGCAACAAAAAGTGCAGCCAACACATGGATCTCTGCTACAAATGCTGACAAAATGTGAAAAGCATGTCTAGATTGTTAAAAGTATGCAACAACCACGTCTTAATTATCGTAGACCCGGATAGAACGCATTTGATTCTGGCTGTCGACAGATATGGCAGGAAACGAGGAGAAAAAAGTTCACGTGCGTACGTCAATTTCGACTGCCGCCTGCACTTGTAATCGCCTGAAATTCTTAACGGGCTTCAAGTGATTTAATCTGAGTAATCCAAAGCTGCTAGTGCCTATGCCTGTTTACAACCACAAAATTCAATCAATGTGCGCTTCAGAAGAGAACCATGCTTTGCCATGTAACTCAACTACAGATATCACCCGATCATTGTAATAATTATTCATATGGAATAACTTCCTCGGAACGAAACCCTGATAGATCTTCACAACAGAAATGCCTCATGAGGTGCACGATAGCTTTGGTTTATATCCATCCGAACTCGAAAATACCACAAACAACTTAATTTGAAAACCTTGTGGAATTTCTGCGTGCATGAAATTCGTGAAAATTCCGTGACGTTCCTAAAGCTATTCCATAACGTTGGCATAATGACTTCATTTCATAATGAGATACACAAAGTCCTCTCAAGATACAACTTAATGCACCTCAGGAATTCAAATCCTAACTCGTGTGCAATGCGGCCATTCACACATTATAGAACAAACTGCCAACGACGAGGCAACAAATTCCAACGAACCCAACTATTTAATTAATTGCCTTTGACCAGTGATTCATTTAAAAGTTGAAAAATATTGGAACACAACAATCAAAACGAAACAAAACAAAACAGGGTCCTGTGTACAAATTACTTAGTAGTGCTAAATCTATCGACTGACATCTGCAGAAAGCAATAAGTCCTTCATGGGCGCTCAGGATATTCAACCAATTACCAACGCACCGCAACCCAAATCATGACACGTATCTACAGATTACACATGCGGAATAGAAGTCACGTCACAAACAATCCTCAATACACCAATTTCGCCCGAATTGAAGCCCTAAACTCATTGAAGTTGAACAAATCATCGTCAATTACCTGCTCTGGAAGTCCCTAACCTAGCCTGCGCTCCAGGAACTTGAGCAGAGCACGAGCAGAGCGCTCTGGACGTCATCTCGGCACCAATCATCTCCTCCTCCACTTACTTCAATCAAGCTCGCAATTGACTAATCAACTGAGTGTTGGCAATTTCGCACCGTTGTGAACGGGACGTGGGTGCAGCTGCAAACGCTCCGAATTGACTCTGGAAGAGAAAGAGAGAAACGCTGGCGTGCACTGGGCCAGCAATCGGGATGAGAGGAAGAGAGGGAAACGCGCACGAAACGAAGGAAGGATGACCCACGCCCCCTGCCCCACCCACAGTCTTGTGCCGGTGACACACCCGCATGGGCACCTGCTGCAGCCGGTGGAATTAGATAGATAGATAGATAGATAGGGTGCTGCAAAGCTCACAATCCATAGTTTTGTTTTATATTTATTTTCCCTTGTGGACGACGCAGGTTGGGAGGGAAGGGGAGCGCACGTGGGAGCCGGGGGTCCCTTCCCTCCCTCCACGCTCATCATTCATCCATCAACATTATCACTCATCCGTTACAGGAATGACGAGAGCCTCGTGGTGGTGGTACTGCTGCTGCTGTCCTCCCAGTTCTGTCTGTCATTGATTGATTGAATGCGTGTCTCCATTCGGGTCCGTTCTCATCCATCCGTTCTTCTGTCTTCGACCTTCATTTAAATAATGTTTGATATGGAAATAGGAATCTTTCCACCTTCAAAATCCATTTCTTTTCTTTTTCTGATTTATAAATTTTAAACATTGCAAAAAACAAAGATTTCTTCTTACCAACCAAACTTTATGATTTCTTTTCTTCATTCCTTTCTTTATTTATAGAACTTAGTAATTTCTATTTCATAAATAAATTAGGAACTTCAAAAATCACCAAAATACTTCAAATGTTGTCAATCAATTACAATAAATTATATTTTATTAGTTTATTGCAACCCGAATTTATAGTTTTATATTTTATTATTAAATGTTAATATGACTATTTGTCAAGGATATGAATCTTGAAGAAAGAAATCTTTAATATATTCTTGTGTCATTCAAAGGACTAAAAAATCACTCAAAGATGATATAGTATTAAATTGGAATGGCTATTGCCAAAGACAAAAAGTCTAGAAAGTCTTGAAATAAGACTAAAGATTAGAAAGGTATTAATAAGAGTGAAGAAGACTTCATTCTTGCCTCCATATATACTATCTAACTAAAAGCTACATGAAGAGCTATCCAATGTACTATCTTTGAAGATGGTTGATTGGTCCTTTCAACCATCAATAGTATCCTATACTAAGGTGGAAAGACCACCTTTTTATTTGATTGTTGTTGAAGCCCTCATAACTTCCTTTAAATAAAACATTTTAGAACATTATCAAGAGTTGTTCCTACGTCTAATAAAATTATCAAACATTGGTAGTCCCTTCAAAGGTCATGATACCAAATACATTATTTTTTGCCATCTATTTGAAGAAAGACATATCATTCTTGAAGATCTTTATTTCAATTATGTTGTCATGAAGGTTGTAACAATCACAATGTCTTGTCTAATAAATCAGCAAGTAATAGCTCTTAAGTTAAATCTCTTAGTTATTGGTTCTTCATCTTTTTAGCATCAAAAAGTTAAAGAAGTTACAAATAAGAGTGTAAAGTAGAATGCTATCTTTTTTAAATCTTATTTTTTTATAGTAAAGATTTTCTATTTTTTACCTTAGTTTTGATGGATGTTGTCAATGAAAAGTTTCAACCTTCTTTACTATATTTGCATGATTCTTTGTTAGGTCATATGTGCATTTATTAATATCATATCTGTGCCAATGAATAAGATATTTTAATCTATTTTGACTCTGCTTAAAATCTAAAACTTCTTCTACCTCAAACTCTTAATTATTATCTACTTCAATAGAAAGACGTAGCATTTGTCTTCTTCTCAATATATTCACTATCTTATATAATTTTAAAAGAGATGCATGAAATATAGAATGGATCTTCATACACTTTGATAGATGTAATTGATAAGCAATAAGATTAATTTATTCACAAATAGGAAAAGGTTCAAGCCTATGATAATTCAACTTGTTACAAAATTGAATAGTCTTGATATTACAATGAAGTAACTATACCTTCTCACTGATCTTAAATTGTGATTATTTCTTGTAATAGGCATCTACATTCATCTTTTGTCATTCTTGAACTTCTTTTAACTGTGTCTTCATTGTTGTATATATCTTTGACAAAAAATTTGCCAAATCTTTTGCTACAAGATTATCAACTTTTAAAAATTTAAAACTATCAAATTATAGATAATAACCATAATTGGTAAAGAAAGATGTTTATTGAATAGAAGAATCAAATTATTATATACAAACTTTGTCAATAGGACAAGAATTATCTAATTATCTTAATAATAATTGATGGTACACCTCAAATATTATTCTAAAATTTGATTCATTCATTTCATTTTCTATTAATTTGAGGAAGAAAAATCAAAAAAAGCTTTATATCTACTTTTAAAATCTTAAAAAAGATTCTTTAAAATTTAGATAAAAATTGAATTCCCTCATTTGATATAATATCTTTGAATAATCTATGATAGCAATAGATATTATCTAAAAAAAACTTAATTATTTCTTCACTTATGATAGATTTTGTACATGATATAAAATATGCTATCTTGGTAAAATGATCTACTATCTCAAATATAAAATCATACAAACTTGAGATATAAAGATCTGTAATGAAATTTATAAAAATAAAAGACCATGGTTGTTTTAGAATACATAATAGCTGAAGAAGTCTATAAGGTCAATGATTAAGAATTTTGAATCTTGAATAAATATTATGTGATTGTAAAAAGTCTTTTAATGCCTAAAAATTTCTAGATATTAGCTCAAAAGTCTTATTGTATCCAAAATGTTCAACTGTTGGAAAATTGTAATGAGCTTGAAGAACACATAATCGTGCTTTGTTTTCTAGAATATATAATTGTCCCTTAAAATACAATAGATTATTCTTGAATTTGAACTTAAAAGCATCATAAGACTTAAAAAAATTATTCTTAATATCATGAATAAGTGGATCTAAGGACATACATAATTGAATTTATTTGACAAAGGTTCAATCAATAGTCAATGTTGATATTATTACTTGAAGATGAGAATACTTTGGATACAAAAAAATCATTCTTTTTTGATCAAAAGTTACATTTATTTCTTTTGATATAAGATAAGAACATCTAAAAAGTACGTTTGATTAATCTTATTATTTCTTAAGTCAATAAGTGATCTTGAAATCAAATCTTGATAAAGACATGCTCTAACAAACTTGCCAATGATTCAAAATATGTATCAACATAAAGTACTTGAGGTACTTGTGATATATATATATATATATATATATATATATATGATGACTAAATTAGAAACAACTTCTAAATAATAATGTCATTCTTGAAATGAATCCACAATTCTAAAAAGTACTTTATTATGGATTTCATAGTTAATCTTGACTACTAAAAATTTCTTGGAATAAAAAGCTATTGAATGGAGCTTATTATTGGCTTTCATTTGTAACAAAATAATACCTTTAATAAAATCTAATGTCTTTATTTTCATAAAAAATACCTTAGAAAAATTAATGTAATATAAAATTAGTACAAAAATAAATGATATCTTTAAAACTTCAAAAGATGCTTCAGCTTCTTTACTCCATTCAAATTTATCTTTATATGTCAAGAGTATAAGAAGAATTGCATCTTGAAAAAAATTCTTGATGAAGATCTAATTACAATTGGCAAATTTTAAAAAGCATTGTATATTTTTTATTATTCTTAAAATCTTTCAATCTATAATAGTCTAGACTTTCTTTGGATCCATTATTAGAACTTCATTGAAAATGATATATCCTAAGAATTCAACTTGAATAGTATAGAATAAATACTTTTCCATCTTAGTATATAATCTTCTAATTTTAAGTTTTTTTAACATAAAAAAATATAAAATTTATATTCTTTTATATTTTTAGAATATATTAGAATATTGTTTAAATAATAGATAACAAAATTATTAAGAAACTAACAAAAAATATCATTTATAAGATGTTGAAATGTTGTTGGTGCATTTTTGAGTCCAAAAAGCATGAAATTATATTCAAAATATCTATAGCTAGTTCAAAAGGCATTCTTCTATTCATCTCCTTCTTAAATATGGATCAACTTATATCCTCTTCATAGATATATTTTTGAATAAATCTTTGCTTAATTGAGTAGGTCAAAAAATCTTAAAATAAAAGATGGGGCATATCTATTCTTCATGGTAATCTTATTAAGTCTTCTATAGTCTATGTACATCCACAAATATCCATTTTTTTTCTTTACAAATAAGATAGGAATTCTCATTGGAGATTTAGAATGGCATATGAAGTTCTTAACTAACTTAATGTTAAAATATTCTTTTAATGCAATTAATTCTTTTTACAATAAGTTATAGATTAGTCTTGAATTCCTTCTTATAAATCAACTAAATAATTATAATATCAATGCTCTAGAAGAATATTTATATTTTTTAAAAACATCTTAGAAATCTGGTACTATTTAAAATACTATTTGACATCTTTCCACCATAAAAAATGAGCATGGCATAAATATAAAAAAGATGATCTTTCTTTTGCTACAATAATAAAAGCTTTCACATATACTATTAAGAGTTTGGATGTACTAAGTTTATATACTTCTACTTAATTAACAAAATTTTAAATCAAATTACAAGAAAAATTGAGATTACAAAAAATCCAATCTATCAAAGAATTGTATTTTTCCAACTAAGATAATTATAAAATAATTAGATTGGATGAAGATCTTATCACATTAAATATTACTATGCTATTATGATTTTTAATTGCTATATCTAAAGGAACAATCTTATAGGTAATATCTCTAAAAGATAATAAAGGATCATCTAAGACTTTTAAATGCATATATTTTATTTTCTTGACTAACAATATTTCTTACTTTTTGACAAAGTCTTTGTCTATAAAATAGATTGAGGCTCTTGAATCTAACAAGATTAAGACTTTGTAATTTTTTGATTATAAATAAACTTCTATTATAAAACTAAATGAAAGATTTAAAGAGAGAATAAGAACTTTACTAAGAGTTACACAAGATTCCAGTCGCATGATCTCTATTGCAGTTGGAAAAAATTGTATTTTAATATATTTTCTTCTTTGGCAACCATATTTCTCATTTTGTGATTGCATTGTTTT